CCCCCCCCAGCCCCCTAGCCCTGGGCTCTGGGCCGACCCACGTGTCTGGCTGCGATCTTGGAGGAGCCTACGAGGTTGCCATCCCCGTCCAGGACGTCAATGCCCTCCTCCAGTTCTCCGTACCGCATCAGGACCACGTTGCAGATGTTGGCACTGGCTGGAGAGAGAGGGAACACGCGTGAGGGTGAGCATCGCATCCCCGGGCATCCTCCTCATCCCCCCACTCCCTGCTGTCTCCTGGGCCTCCTCCTCATCCCCCCACTCCCTGCTCCAAGCAACAAGGGTCCAAGGGCAGTAGACAGAGGTGGGTGGTGGTGGCTTCTGCCATCCAGGTGCCCTTCATCCTGCTAGGGGACCGGGGGTGGGCAGGGGGCTTGAAGTTCCTGGGGAAGCTGGAGAGCCGAGTTGGAAGCTAACCAGTGCTGGGTGGAAGGGCAGCTGCTCAGAGTGACTAGTTATCCAGACTGCTGCTCTCCCCACTCCGGTGCCCGAGGCGCATGCAGTGCAGTGTAGGCTGGAAGGGGAGGCCCAACTGGGAGGGCTCTGCAGCCTGAAGGGCCCACGCCCTCACCACGGAGGCGGGCGTCCCCAAGCCAGCCCCCGGGGTCTTCAGAGTGAATCCAGTTCCCAGAGACTCGCCTCCCTGACAGCAGGTGCAGAGCAGGCAGGAAGCCCTGCGCGCTCGAAAGCTCACCCAGCACCGCCCCCTCATCATATGGATGCTCAGAGAGGCTCCGGAGAGGGAGTGACTGGTGCAGGGTCACACAGCCCAGGGGCCCGGGGGTGAGGGAGGGGTTAGTGGGGCAGGCCTCTACAGTCTTGCCTCAGATGGCTGGGTTCCTTTGGTCACAATCCCCCACCTCAGCTGAGATCATGGGGGCTTGGGCTAAGAGGAAGGTTCCGGGTGCCTTACTTAGATGCTGGGTATTAGATATTTGGGGGGAGGGTGGGGGAAGGTAATGCCATCGCTTGGTGGCTGGCAATGAAAGTTTTTCTGTCCCCCTTGCCTGGGACTTGCTGGCTGGAGGAGGTTGGTGCGGTGTGTGTGTGTGTGTGTGTGTGTGTGTGTGTGTGTATGTGTGCAGTCTCCCTGAGAGGGGAGAACAAGGGGTTCCTCTGGCCTGGCTAAGGCCTGGGCCGGGTGCAGGTGCTGACCTCACCTGAACCCCTCAGCCCTGCTTCAGGATGGAAGTGGGGGATGTGGGGGTGGTGGATGATGGTGGGGGGAATGAAGGTGACAAATGCGGAGCCCGCCTGCTTCACTCCTCCCCCCAAAGCGCCTTGCTGTGTTTAAAGTTTTAATTTTTGCTAATTAATGTCAATTAATTTTGTATAATGAGTGTTTAATTTTGGGGAGTGTGTGAGCCTGGGAGCGACTGCAGTTCTGGGCTGTGAACGCTGATTAGCATCAACACCTGCTGCTTCCCCACTCCCTCCCGAGGGGGGTGCACGAGGGTTTGGGGAGCTGGGGGGCGATGGGGCCGGGTGGGCAGGTGGAGTGGGAGGGAGATCACAGATGCTCCTGGTGCCCGAGCCAAGGGCTGGACCCCTGGCGGTCCAGGGTGCTCACAGCTGGGGGGCAGGCTCTGCAGGTAAGGGGTGGCTTGGTCCCTGAGGGTCTCTGGGCTTCTGTTTCTGGTTTCAAGAAGCGGGGAGGTGAAGTAAACAGAGGGGCAGACCACGCCCTTGGCAGCCTTTGGAGAAGGAAGCAGGAGACTGGGGAGTTTTAAATGCATTGACAGCACATATGCCGTCTCCGAGCCTCTGAGTTCCAGCATGACACTCGCAGTGGCGATGCCGCCACGGGCAGACCTTCCTCTGCGGCTGAGACTTAGGCCTGTGGCTCTCCCACCCCTGAGACAGGCACACTCACGCTTAAAACAGTGGCTCTCACCTGGGGGTGACTTATGCCACCCACCAGAGGAGCTTTTGGCAATTTTCGGAGACTTTTAAAAATATATATAACTATGGCCTGGTAAAGAGAGAAACAGGAGCTTCTAGCAACACACGGGTGAAGACCAGGGGTGTTGCTAAACGACCTACAGTGCACAGGCCAGCCCCACACAACAAAGACCAGGCCAGCCCTGAGTGCCAGGGTGCTGAGACGGAGAAACCCCGGCAGTCACTAAGGTGACTCCGAGGGCAAGGGCATGGATGTGGAGCAGCAGCAGCTGTCCGGAGCCTAGGTTTGGGTTTCAATCTTGATTCTGCAGTACCCCAACTCCAGAGCACAGATCCAGGGTCCCCCTAAGGTTCAGCCCCACCCCCACCCCCTGTAAAAGGGCCCCAGAGGGCTGCCTTGGGAAGACAGCACCTGCTCTCGTGTTGGTGACATGCCCTCTAGTGGCGTTAGGAATTAACTGCACCTTCCACCACCCAGGAGGGCCCTGTGGCCTTCAGTTCCCAGGAGACCTCAGTGGAGAGGACATTGGGATATCCTGCCTTACTAAAGCATCCATCCCCGGCCTTGGGGAGTTTCCTCCACCACCCCACCACTACCATCCCAGGGGAGCCAAGGGCACAGGATGAGCATCTGCTTGAGGTCAGGAGCCCTGGTGCTCTCACCTCAGCCCCCAGGCCTGCCCCCTGGGGCAAAAGGAGGTGTTGCATTCATTGTCTGGGGGGTGTGGGTGGTGGCAGAGAGGTCTCCAGGTGCTGGCTGAATTCACACATGTGCCAGCCTGTGCACCCACATCTGTACCCATGCCAGGGCAGGGGGAGCCAGGAACGGCTAGCTGAAATGTCCCTGATCCTGATGCCCAACACCATTCCAGGGAGCGGGGACCAGGGGGAGATGCACCCACAGTGCTGACCTATGGGTGACCACCCGAAGACAGCCTGAAGTGTGTGTGCATTGGGGGCAGACAGACAGACAGGCAAAGAGAAGGGTCTGTGACCGGTAAGTGGTGGTCCTCCCAGTCCGGGACTTGTGCTTGCATCTCATTTGTCACCCGCCATTTCCGATTACGGAGCGTAGCAGCAGGAGGTCCGAGCAGGACTTGGGTTCGAACACTGAAACCACTCGAGACAAAAAGGGGCAGCACCAGGAGAAACGCAAGCTTGGTCTCCCTCCCTTCAGCTCCCCCGGCCCTTCTGAGCAGCTCTGGGGTGACAAAGTCCCCCTCCCAGCTGGGATGGAAAAAGACAGAGGAAACCCGACAAGCCCCCTCGGAATGACAGCACCTCCCAGGCGCCTCCGCTCGGAATACCCCCCACCCCTGCCCCAGCATCCTAAGCTGGTCTGCTAACCGCAGGGCCGACTGTTCAAAGCCACCAGCTGCTACGAGGTAGAAAGATGAGGCTTCCCACTCCTGGAAAGGGACACTCTACCCCGTCCTATAGGGTCTCTGTGAGTCAGACTCCCTCAATGGCAGTGAGTTTGGCTTGGGGTGACTATGTGAAAGAAACGCGCCCTCTGGACCAGACACGCAGGCTGGCCGTCTCGGAAGTGGCCTCAGTGTGCAGGCGGGAGGCAGCCTGTCTTTGAGCCACGAGAACACCAGCTTCTCATGGTGATCTCACTTCCGGGACCTCCCCTGGACCGACGGTTCTGCCCTGGCCATCCAGATCCCGAGGCACAGGCTGAGAGCCTTCCTAACACACCGGCGAGCTGTCTTACGGTTGGCACCTGCAGGTTCATTAAGCAGGCTGGGAGTGATCATGTTAAGAAAGCTGGCACATCTTCAACTCAGATTGACACCATTCAAGACTCAGGCTTAACTGACGTTCGAGCAGCGATGCCGGGAGATGTCATGGCATAAGTGAGCGAGAAGGGGAGAGACTGCCTCACACCACGGGTTAGCTCCATGTCAAGTCCTATGGAAAATATGTTCTTGACTGCTACAGAGATTCTCACATCAGACCCATCGCGGTGAGATGGTGAACAGCTAATGAAGCACCCTGGGTCCCAGGGACAGAGTGGGGAGGAGGAAGGAGCATGGGGCGTGAGGAGGTGTTTGCAAGGAAGTTCTCTCAAAGAGAAGACCGCAGGGGGCTCCCCGCTGGACCAGCCCAGGGAAGGAAGTACAGGTGGAGCGAGGCCAGAGTGGGCACCCCAAGGCCCAGCGAGACCCTCACGTGCAGGAGAAACTCACGTGTGACCAAGCGGAAGTACCGACGCTCTGAGCAAGGACCATCCAAAGTCCTTGCTGTTGGTGGGTGGCTTGGAGTCGATTTCAAGTCAGAGCCTCCCCACTGTGAGAGTGCAAAGCTACCCCTCCGGGTTTCTAGGTGGGCTGTGGTTGAACAGGGGGTCGCTGCAGGTCCGGGCTGACACAAGGGCACCCACCACCGACGGCAGCGACAACCATCTTCCCAGAAGCAGATCATCACGTTCCCCTCCCATGGCAAGGCTGGGGAGCCGATTTTCCTTCAGCAGCCAAGCTCCGGCTGTTAAAGCCACCAGGGTTTCTTACTCAAAACTTGAGGGCGAGCAAGATGCGATTCATCTGGGGAAAGTTCCGTTGCATACACCCTCAGCTCTAAGATGCATCTCCCCCAGTTTGAATGCTTTAAAAACCGCGATGTGCTTTAGGTTGGCTGCTGCGGGAGGGGGTGGCGAGAAGACGCCCCACCCCACCCAACCCCTCCTGCTACCCGGCCTGTGCAGGAGCAAACGCTGTCACCAGTGGAGGTGTCTGTTCACCCAGCTGTCACCCCAGCTGACCACAGCCACCCACACAGAATTGGCGCTTAAACTTAGATTCCTAATTGTTGCTTAAGGCGTCTTTTTGGAAACTTGCACGATAATGGAGCACGGACACGGAAAGTTATTGTACATGCAGAAGATTGTCTGCCAGATACCAGGCCGTGCAATTAAAGGCAGTAGAAATTGCCAAACCATAGATAGCTACCCTAAAGAAATGCCTGCCCATATGCACAAAGAGACATTTACAAGGATGTTAATTATAGCACTGTTTGTAAGAGCAAGTCATTAGAAACAACCTAAATGTCCACCATTGGGGAACTCACACGGGATGATTTCCCAAACAATGTGTTAGGCGACAAAGTGCTCCAGAGTGTGTCTGGGAAGATGGCAGGGACGTGGATGCCTGCCACCAGCAGCATGGGACACAGCAGTGCACACCCTGCAGGCAGCACGTTGGAAGGCTCAGCACCGACAGTGGCCCTTCTGTGGAAGGGGACCCGATCCAGGGC